CTATAACTCCTGTAGATTTAATATTACTCTTTCTAAATTTATTATGTAATAGCCTTTTGTGTTATTATGTCTTATACTTATTTTATTTAAACTATAGTTATTTTAATTTCTTTCTATGCCTTAGTCTAAACATAAGCCTTCTTAATATCTAATTACTATTATTTATAATCTTTAATAAAGTGTTTCTATTTTCTATATTCTAAATAGACTTTATATATATAGTATTCTATTTATTCTTTAGCTCACTTTCCTTACCCTTTTCTAATAAATATTTATTTTATATTAATACTTATTTCGTTATAGGTTTAGTTATCTTTTTTATTTCTTTTAAGTATATAGATTACTAATTTTCTATATACTTTTTTCTCTTACTCTTGTTAGTACTAGTAATTATTAATAATTTTTAGCAAGATACTTAGTTATTTTCCTTTAGAAATCTTATCTTTAATTTTATCTTTTAGTTCTTTGTAGTATATTATAACTAGTAGTTAGTCTATCTAATTAAGTTATAATTAAATTTATTTAAACTCTATTATATAGTTAGCTGTTAATGTTTATTACTTAAGCTATTAAAGCTTTTAGACTACTTTAGTCTCCTTATTAATTTCTCTAAAGATAATAATTATTTCTTATTTAAAGTATTTATAACTTTTAAAGGCTTGATATATATTATTATTACAGTTTACTAATCCTACTACTCTTAAATTAAGGTCTTTGTTGGCTAGGTAGTTTCTTATTAGTAATTTAAACTATTATATAGTTTTATCTATTATATTTATATCAGCTGCCAGAATCTAGTTCTAATTAGTTAAAAATAACTTTTAATTAAAATAATAGTATAGGTCTATTACTGCTATAAAAATCTTAAGTTTATTCTAATTATTATTAAATTTTTTAAAAGGCTATATCTTTACTATTCCTTTCTCTTAATTTATTTTAACTTATTATTATAGACTTATTAGGGCATTATGTAACTTTATAATAGCTATTTTTTATTCTTAAATAATTTATTATACACTCTTAGTTTCTCTGGATGTATTTTTAGTTATAAATAAAGATCCTACTATAACTTCCTTTTTACTACTACTTTTTTTTAATAAATAAAGTTTTTATTTATCCTTATAGTAGGTTGTTATAGATGTTTGATAATTAGTTATTAAAATTTATCTAACTACTTCTCTTACTCTTTTAAAATGATAATTATAATATTATAAGTTACTAACTTACTAACGTAAATTATACTAATAATAAGCTATTTAATTAATTATTATAATAGTTAATTAGTTCCCTTACTTCCAGATTAGATAGCTTATTAGACTTAGTAGAAGTTAGTTAACTTAGTAGAGATAGAAAGAAGTAATATAGTAAGTTAAGATTTAACAAAATAGTATTAAACTATTTTACTTAAGATATAAATCTTAATTTTAGAGTAACTATAAAGAATTAAAAGTAACTATAAGCTATTTAATGCCTTATACTTATAGTAAATCCTTTATACATATATTATATACTAATTAGAAGTATATTAGATACTGCTAGAGAAAATAGAGGAAGATAAGTTTTTATCTATATTATTTATATTTATCTTTACTATATTTTAATATAGTATGTTACCTAATTTACTTACCTACTTTAGGTATTATTCTCTATAGAACTTGAACTTATTATAGAGTAGTCTTATCTATAAGTTCTATCTTTATTAATTTACTTTAGCTTATTAGTATTATTTATATATTTTTTTATATTATATCTTTTATAGTAACGCCTTTTTGCTTATGTTTTCTTCATTATTACAGTCCATAACACTCTTATAAAAAGTTTAATAAAGTATACTATATAATTAATAAATATAAAAATAGTTTATAATTTATTTTATAGCTACTTTAAAATAAAAACTATACTAAATTAAAAATATATAAATATAGTATAAATTATATAAAATAAAATAAAGTTAGGTAGAATTTAAAAAACTTTCTAAAAACCTTAGAATATAAACAAAAATACTAGAAAAATTAATAAATAATACTAGTAATACATAAAGTAAAAGAGCATAATAAAAAGCAAAAATAATAAAAGAATATAGTAAATACAATACATGTTTTTTTAGTATAAATAAATTTTCTAAAGTTAACATTTATTATATAAAAGTTAACTTTAGTTTATTACATTATAAATATTTCTATATTATTACGTTTTATAATAGTTACTTAAAAATCTAATTATTGTAAAAAATTAACGTAAGTATATTATTACTAATATTTTTAATAATAAGCTTATATAAAGTAAACTAAAATTCTATATTATATAATAAAAGTATAACTTTAATAATTGTTAGTATAATACTTAAAACTTTATAAATATTTTATATAAAGTATATAACTTTTATAAAATTTATTTAAAAAAAATGTTTTTATAATAGTTAAAATAATAGCTATGTACTTAAAAAGTAAAAAAAATATATAACTATATTAAAAAACAATTTAACTAAGTAAAAAAAAAGTTTTATAAGATAATTACATTAAATAAAAATATATATATAAAAATTAGAAACAAATTTTTTATATAAAAAAAAGTAATGTAATAGCTAAGTTACTTAAAATATAATTAAGTTCTATAATTATTTATTTATTTAAACTTAAAACTTTAGTACTAGTTTATATAAATACTTTAACTTTATATATTTTTATTAACTTTATTTTAAAATAGTTAACTTTAACTAATTTAACTATTAACTTAAATATTAATTATAAAAATATTAACGTATTTTATAAGCAAGTGGGCTACTCTTGTTAAGAATTACCTTTTCTTTAATAACTTTACGAAAACTTAATATTATTTAATAAAAATATAGAATTAGCTTTTTAGACTGTTAGTGTAACTAATTCTAAATTTATATTATAATAGTATTACTTAATTATAAGTAATTAAGCTTAGAATCTACTTTACTTTAAAATAAATGTTAGCTATTTTTAGTTATAATATTACCTAATAATAAATTATAAAACTTAAATATAAAGTATTCAACCCTAAATTTATAATATATTAAAATTTTAAAGCCATAGTATTAGTAGTTTTTAAGATATTAAAAAGTGGATACTAAAACCTCTCTTTACCTAGAGTTCTTAAAAATCTACTTATTCTACTACTATAAAATCATAATATAGTCTAAATTATATATAAAATAGGGTAAATTTGAGTTTTATAATTTATTATTAGGTAATATTATAACTACAAATAGCTAAAATGCATTCTAAAGTAAAGTAGATTCTAAGCTTAATTACTTATAATTACGTATTGCTATTATAATGAAAATTTAGGATTAGTTGCATGTAGCATTTAAAAAGCTAATTCTAAATTTCTGTTAAATAATATTAAGTTTTCGTAAAGTTATTAAAGAAAAGGTAATTCTTGGTAAAAGTAGCCTACTTACTTAAATAGCCTACTTACTTATAAAATACATTACTAGCTATAATAGTTTCTACAAATAATTTTAGCTTTAAGTTATTTAAACTTAGTTTTTTATAAATACTTATTACTAAGTATAGTAAAACTTATTTTATTTAAATAAAAGACTTTTTTATTTAAAAGTCTACTAAAATAGTACTAAAATTTCTTTTTTTATTAATTAAAAAAACAACTTTATGTAATTAGGTTATAGTTATTTTGTATTAAAAAAATACTAAAACTTTTTTATATAATTAATATTTTAATAGCTAAAACTTATTTTACTACTACTTTTGCTTAATGCTACTTTTTTTAATACTATTTTTTTTCTAATATTACTTTTTCTTTAATACTACATTTTTTTCTAATACTACTTTATTTCTAATAATAATACTTTTTTTTAATACTACTTGTTTTTATTACTACTTTTTTTTATTACTACTTGTTTTTATTACTACTTTTTTTTATTACTACTTTTTTTTATTACTACTTTTTTTTATTACTACTTTTTTTTATTACTACTTGGTCTCTACTGGTTGCTGACACAATTTTCCTATAAAAGAGGCCTCGCTAAGTGAGGCCCACCTAGGTCAACGATAAACACCAGGTTAATAATAAATATTTCTAAATTATTAAATTAACAATATTTCATGCGCTTGCAGCAGGTAATAATTAATCTAATTCATTATTCATTTATCTACTAGTGGCTCTATATTGCTCTCTGTATTAGATTCGCCTTTTACCTCACTGTCGCTGCCCTCAGAGCTCTCAGAGCTCAAGTCTTCACATGTCCCATCACCAACATAAGGCCCTCTAGTCTCTATCCTATCCTAATATCTCTTTATAAGTACGAGCCAGTTGTCTCGAAGCCAACAATCAATATTACGCTCTCTTAGCTGGCCTGATTCAGCACGCTTGAGGTACATTCTAGCGTGGTTACGAATAATAGGATGTAACCGCTTCCACCGATTCAATATAATATCATGCTCTCTTAACTTTTTAGTCTCAAGCTGCTTCTCTAGAGCCCGGATCTTATTAATCTGACGTTATTGAACCATCTCACGGCCTTAGCTTGCATAGATTGGCCCTCCTTTAGAGACAACTTAGCGCTTCCGCTTCCTTCGCTTCTCTCTAGCAATCTCAGCCGCCTGCGTTTTGAAGAGTTCATGTTAGTAGTTTTGTGCGTTACTAGCCATTGCAGAAGCTCCCTTAAAAGTTAAGTAAATGCTTTTCACGATTAGTAACGGCAGCCACTCTGTAATAGCGTCCTTAATTGCAGTATGTTGACGTTTAAGCGTTCAGATAGTAAGAGGTGTCTGCCAGCCAGGCTCACCAGGCGCTTGCATAATAAGAGAAGGAGTTTTAGGACGCTTGCTTTTATAATATACCTCAAGGAGACGTTGTTGGGCCTGATTATATGCTGAAGATGCTCTAGCATACTCTTTATCTAAATACTCTTCAAAATCTGAAGACATAAAGGTAGGAGTAGGTGGGGCCTGTATAGGCAGTGGCTTATAACTTGCTACTGCTGTATTCTTCTCTGTCTCTTGCCACTCCAGCTCATCTAACACTAGCTGAGGATTGAAGGGGTAAATACCAGATCTCCGCCAGCCACTATAAATTGTGCCTAGACGAAACGTTTCTTGACGAACTCAGGCTATAGTTGTAAAAAAATCAGTCTTTGTAATATCCTTGGTGCCTGTCCGTGAAGCAAAGTCAAGACACTTATTATGATACCACTTAAGCGGCTGAAAACACCCTACATCTAGAGGCTAGAGGAAATGTGTAGTATGTGGTGGTAAAGCAAACAATTGGATTTTATGGCTGGCGGCGTACTCAATAAATTGTCGAGTAAGATGAGATCTGTAGCCATCCATTAATAGAAGTCTCTATGTCTCCTTAACTTGGTCCTTGGTCATCTTCTCAAAGTGTTCAATCCAATCCAGACTTGTCTTATCGTTGTTATAGCCAGAATTGCTTACATTAATAAGGTAGTCGCCAGGGAGATCCATTACCCAGGCTTTCAGAATTATTGAGGCCTTAATAATAAGCATAGGATTAATTACCTTTCCATGAGCGGAGATAGCCTCAACAAGAGAGACTTGCTCGTAATTGTTTGATGTAGGAATAAATACTTGTCTCCCATGCCTAGTAAACACGTACTGGTTCTTTGTAACGCCTATTTGACAGCCATATTCATCCATGTTCCAGGTATCCTTAGGGGCAATCTCCAGGCGCTCGCATATGGTCTTTAGCTTGTTAAACCACTTTCGAATCGCCTCTGGTTGTTGCGCAAGCTTCCTCTGAATCTCAAGAGGCTTTGATTGCACTAGACGATACTTTGGATGAGCCTTAAGCCAGCGCTGACTCTAGTTCTTGCCGCATTGCAAGGGCTTACCTGACCCCTCATGTGCCGCCTCCAGAATCTTGTTACAGTACTAGGCGACTAGATCCTTGTGTATACCAAAGCCAATATCGTTAATTGTATCAAGAAACTGCTTAAGAGCTAGCTCCTGGTCGTCAGTTAATAGAGGTTTCGGTTTAGGGCGTGTTTTCTTGTTGTGGCCGCCTTTGTAGGCACGGAGAAGCCGCTGGTAAGGAAGATTATTCACCTCTGCGTAACTCCTGACGCTTGGATTTGGTAGCGTTTTGAGGTATTTAACTGCCTTATTGATGTTGGTAACTGATTGATCGTAGACAGGTAATTTGCGAGATTTTTTAGCCATGGCTGCAGTATGGTGGTGATAATAATGCGATGTAGAATTATATTTATCGTTGACCTAGTGTTTATTATTGACCTAGGTGGGCCTCGCTTAGCGAGGCCTCTTCCGCAGGAAGATTGTGTCAGCAACCGGTAGGGGCCGAGTAGTGTGTAACGTTTTTTATAAGTAAGTAGACTATATAAATAGGCCACCTCAAAACTCACTAAAAAATCAAGAATTCGTACTTGAATATCTCAACAACCACTTAATAATAAATTCTAGAAATTTAATATATAATTAATAGTGCTTTAAAATAGAGGCCATTGAATTTTTAAGAGCTGGCAGTTAAACCGTATTAAGATATTTAAGAAAAAGTGAATTTGGGGGCCGAAACACCACTATCTCAATAACTATTAATTACTAATCCCTAAAAATTTAATGGCCTCTATTTTTAAGTACTATCAATTACCTATTAAATTTCTAGAATTTATTATTAAGTGGTTGTTGAGATATTCAAGTGCGAATTCTTGATTTTTTGGTGAGTTTTGAGGTGGCCTATTTATATAGTCTACTTACTTATAAAAAACGTTATAAATACTATGCTTTAGACTTAAGTTGAAATACAAACTAGGAGTATCAAGTTTAGCGCTAGCAGCTTCTCTACCAGCGAGGATGGATAATCTTTAGATATTGAAGACAGTCTGGATGATTTAGGGTGGTGTGGATTATTCTGCAGCAAATGTCATCGCCCTTCCTAGTCCATACTAGTTGTAGGAGCCGATTAGGTGAGGCCGTTGACAGTGGCTTGTGCGTGTAGGGCTGGTTGTCCAGCATGCATTAGTTCCAATTTTACCCCGTGGCGATCAGCGATGAACATACCAGGAAGCTGTAATATTGGATTTAAAATGGGCTGAGTCAATTCATGGGGCAACGTATCAGGCGATGCCGACTTCCGTTACTTAAAGAATAAGACTCCAAGTTCAGCGCTTATCGTAAAAATAGGTGCTGGAGTCCCCCCCAAGACGAACCGCGCACCAAATACAAGTTCCGCGCAAAACTGTCCGTGCTTTTCGCGTACCATCTCATCTCGCGTCTCTCGACGCGAGCAACCCTTACACTTTAACTCACCATCACACAATGCCACGCACTCCTCTTACTCCAATCTCTTCAAATACACTTAAGCGGAAGGAGCTCACCCCATACGAGCGAGGAATTATTGTGGGGAAGCACTTAGAAGGAGCTGCCCCGCCTTCAATTTCAAGAAGCCTTTCTATCCCACCGCAGACTGTCTGCGACACCATCCTTAAAGCAGTCTCGCGCCCCAACGGGGAGTCTGTACCGCGATCTGGCCGGCCTAAATGCTATAAAGAAAGAGATAAGAGAAAGGTTGTGCGCATTGTGCGCCTTAACCCTTTCTTTAAATACTCAGGCCTTAAGAGAGACTCGGGCCTTACTTTTTTAAGGGATACACTTTGCTGGATTCTTGAGAGGCATGGGATCACTAATTGGATTGTAAAAAAGCGCCCAATGCTTACGGCAGAGCATGCAAAGAAAAGGCTTGCATGGGCGTTTGCCCATGCAGATTACACAGATGAATAATGGGAGAAAGTGGTGTGGTCTGATGAGTGCTTTATGGAGAGGGGCAGCGGAAAAGAAAGACTCTAGGTCTTTAGGACTCCTCTAGAGAAATGGGACAAGGACCATATTCAAACATATAAGAAAGGGAAGGGCTTAAGGGTTATGGTGTGGGGAGCTATCTGGGGAAAGGAAAGATCCCGTCTTATTATTATGGATAGGGACTTTGAGAGCAAGAAGCATGGGTACACCTCTACCTCCTATATTAAGGTGCTAGGGGAGGCCCTTCTAGAATTCTGGGACCCTCCTATGGTTTTTATGCAGGATAATGCTCCTATTCATAATGCCTATGTGACTAGAGACTGGATGGAGGAGCATGAGGTTAGTATTATGCTTAATTGGCCTCCCTACTCTCCAGATCTTAATCCCATTGAGCATCTATGGTGGCACCTAAAGAAGTTGGTGTATGAGGTCCGCCCAGATATTGAGAGCCTTACAGGTGGCAAAGAGATAGTAAGAAAGGCCCTAGAAGAAGCTCTACTTGAGGCATGGGAGAGAATTGATGAGAGGATCATACATAACGTGGTTGGGAGTATGAGGGATAGGGTGCAGGCTGTAATTAAGGCAAAGGGATGGCACACGAGGTATTAAGCACCTACAACAGTATAAACTAGTCCGTGTATAAATTGTGCATGTATTTATCTAGTCTTAACTTTTCTCCAACTTTGGGAATCTCTAGGTAGCTATCCATACAATTTAATATAGTAGGTTACCCCGCACTGACCCCACACACGGAGACTTTTGCGTAAGTACTGTACATGCCACCTACTTGTAGGTTCGGGAAAAGGGAAGCCGAATGGGCCAAAAAACGGTTACGCAGTGCGGGGTAAAAGCAACTCAATATTCACACCCGCACTTTATGGACAGGAGCGAGGATTGCGACCGGAAAATAAAACCCTACACCCGTCTTGATTCAGAACTGAGTATAATGACGCTGAGCGATTAGGATTCTCGTTATGTTGTTCTTCTTCGCCATCTTCGTTGTGGCGCAAGCCGCATTTACTGAACGTCCGAGTTCACTCCGACATGCCAACCTATTCAAGCATCATACCGAATTACGCTCCGAGTATGATTTCATCATTGTTGGGGGTGGCGCTAGTGGCCTGACAGTCGCGGACAGATTGACTGAAGATCCGAAAAGTATGCAGAGCCTTTCGTATAATTCTGTCCCGATATCTGATACAGAATACCAGCAACGGTCCTAGTGGTTGAATATGGTCCATTTGATCATCACGAAGATCAAGTCCTCGTTCCGGGACTTCTTAATCTCACAAACACCCCTTACTGGTATAATCTTACGTCCATACATCAGCGCAATCTCAACAATAATTCCTTCCACGTCACCATTGCAGCGGCAGTAGGTGGGGGAACTGTAATCAATGGTATGCTCTTCCATCGTGCACCGCGAGCGGATTACGATGCTTGGGAGTCGTTGGGAGCGAAAGGTTGGGGTTGGAATAGTCTGCTGCCATTCTTTAAGAAAGTACGCCACTCCTGGTCATCATTCTCCAACCACCTTGTGCTGGATACCTTGTGCTGACGGCCCCAGAGCGAGAATTTTACACCACCGCCACAGGACTTTGCAGCGGAGTGGAACATTACCTGGGACAGTACAGTTCATGGTTTCGACGGTCCCGTTCAATCGAGCTTTCCGCCGTACCAGTTCCCAGTCATAAGTAAGACTCATTGGGACAACGTGCGCTTCAGAGGCTGCTTTTGCTAACTTAATTCTAAGAGAACTTCTTTCGTGCATTCCACAGCCTAGGAATTGGAACTCCTCGCGATTCATCGGACAGTAGTGGGACCGGTGTATTCTGGGCTCCAAGTTCTCTTGACCCAAAGGATAAGACTAGATCTTACGCGCGCTCAGCCCACTATGATCGTATAATTAACCACAGGCCAAACTACCATCTAATCGCTATGTCAGCCGTTTCCAAGATCATCTTTGAAGGCCATACCGCGACAGGCGTTGAATACGTGTCACGAGAGACTGGAGACACCCACTCTGTCTCTGCGAAGAAGGAGGTCGTGCTTGCTGCTGGTGCGGTTCATACGCCGCAAGTGCTTCAGCTCTCTGGAATTGGACCCAAAACACAATTGGAAACACACGGCATTGACTGTGTGTTTAACCTCCCTGGTGTGGGTCAAAACTTTCAAGATCATCCCACCATGTTCTTTGTCAATGAATGTGAGTTCTGCGAAGTTTGTGAAAAGAAATGCCGAATGAAACTTCCAAAAATGTTCTCTATACACTGACGTCTTTCTCGCAGTCAAGAAGGACCTGACACCAAATGTGGATGATCTTACTACAAACGAGACTTTCTCGTCAGAACAGCTCGCGCTCTATTTCTCAAAGCGAAAAGGTGCCTATACGTTGGTAGCAAATGGTGGAAACACGGTCGCCTTCGTTCCACTTCCGCAGTTCTCATCAGACTACGAGAAGATCATCGAATATGCGAAGTCACAACCTCTCGACTCTATATATCCTTCTATCTCAGATACATCTCTATTAGCAGGCTTCCGTAAGCAACGTTCGTTGCTTCTGGAATCTTATGCGCGAGACGATACCGCCATCCAAGAAACAGCATTCAACAAGGGTTTCCTCCCAGTGACACTTCTAAAGCCGCTTTCCCGGGGGACGATTTCGATCAATACTACCGAGCCTCTTGCTCCGCCGGTGGTCGATTATGGCGCCCTTAACGACCCCACAGACCTCGAGGTCATGATTGCCGCACTCAGGTTTAATCGCAAACTCATGCAAACACCAGCCATGCAGGAACTTGAGCCCTTGGAGCTGGCCCCGGGATTGAATGTAACGACGGATGACCAGTTGAGAGAGATTTTACCAACGATGATACAACCGACTTTCCAACATCCGTGCTGTACTTGCCCGATGATGCCACACAAGTATGGAGGCGTTGTGAATCCGCAGCTGTTGGTTTACGGAACTGAAAGGTTGTCGGTTGTAGACGCTAGTATTATGCCGATAATCCCGGGAGGTATAGATGCGTAGAACCGCTTTAGAAGATTCGAGCTGATTCAGACTCTATAGCGCATCTGAGTGCTACGGTGTACGCTGTTGCTGAA